GGCTTTGGGTTGTTCTGACGCTTGGCCCTTCCAGGTCTTTGATAAAACCTTGTAAAACAGGACAGAATACAATGCAGTACAATATAACATCAGACGTGTAATATAATGTAACACGTCACAATACAACACGACATGTTACGCTGCAATACAGTTTCAATACAAGACAATACCATACACTACAACACAATACAGTATAGCACAATGCTATAATACAGTATAACAGAATGTGATATGACATGGCATGGTATGATACAACATAATACAGTATAACAGGTTAGAGTAGAGTAGAACGGACTAGAATATAACATGATATAGCACAACATCAAATAAACTAGATTAACACCAAAATAATCCGTCATAATTCGGGATTCGGGGCTTGCAGGCTTGTTCGGCTGCTTGCAAGGGCTTGTAGCTGGTCTTGTGTATTCTGGTTCATGGGCTTAGGGTGTAGGGTTTAGGGTTTAGGACTGAGGGCCTCGCAAAGATTCCGACTGCACGGGGCTGCAGCATTGAACTCTCCTCCTCCATGCTTTAGAGTTCAGGGTTGAAGGGTTTGGCGTCGGTGATGTTCGGCATCCCCCCGAACGAGCAAGCATTCCGTTTGCAAGTCCATGTGCTCCTTGAGTGCTTAGGCACGGTTCTGTCGTTTTGAAGGGTCGCGATCCCAAATGCCGGTGCGCCAAGCATCAACTCTAGACTCTAGACCCTTGGTGCTTGTTGGGTCCTGGCGTGAGGACCGCAGGACTCTGCGGTTCAGGGCTCAAGAGTTTTGGGCGGGGAGAGACTTGAGGGCTTCAGGGTGCTAAGGGTGCATTAGATTGCTGTCAAGATCATGGTTTGGTCCTATGTTGGTCGTCCTTTCCTGAGCCGTGGTCTCATGGGATACAGCGGTTCGTTTGACTAGAGCGATAATCCAGCCTGCTGTGGTGGATCCTTGTCAACAATTCGGAGGGTCGTGTTCTGGTAGCCAGCGAGCCCAGATTGGAAGCTCAGCTGTAAGGTTCTCCAAGACTTCGAGCGGGACACGATGTTGAACTACAACTATGCTGCTCAGCAGAATAGCGCAAGGGACATGAGGGCGTCGCGCTACACCCTACAGACCCTGAGACTCGAACCTTAAGATGCTAATAATATGATATAATATATTTTGATACAACCTGATACAGTATGATATGATATGAAATGACATGACACGTTATAATGCAACATGATATGATCCAGTACAGTATGATATAATAAGAAGGTGATATAAGGTGATCTGATCAATTCGGCAGAGGCCTTTGGCCGAGTGAGTCCTGTCTTGCGTCTTGGTCAGGTCTTTAGAGGAGACCCAAACCCTCAACCCTAAATTCCAATTAGGGGTTTAGGGGTCCCCAAACTCCAAACCTCCCCGTCTCTGTCTTACTTTCGTTCTTAAGGCTCTTGTGGTGGAGAGTTCAGAGTGTCAGATTGAGCATCAGATCATTAGATCTTACCCCCAAGTTATAGAAGCTGCCTAACAGACCTTTTCGTCCAGGAATTATGCTACCATTTATATAAGGCAGATTAGGGAAGTAGTACGGCAGAATGCAGACGAGGTGCGTTGCAAAGACGGGTTTCCGATTGATTTTGAAAGATGTCAGACCAGATGTTCTTTGTGACAGCTGTCAGGGGCCTTGAATGCTACCCGTCCACTATCTCAGCTCGACGGTGGACGAAGCAAGCCTGTGAGCAAGTTTATCCTCGTGTCGGCTGAATCCTTAAACCTGCAACCCCTAAACCCTATCTGGCTCGCATGCGTGAACCTGGCTCAGGCCAGGAGGGAGGGGGGGGTCCGGATTCCAGAGGCAGTTTCACGACTCCGGCTTGTGCAGTGGAGCTCCCTGAAGCGCCGGGCTTTTTGGGTTTTTTTTTGCGCTTCGTTTTCTGCTAATCATGCAGCTGGTTCGTCTGGCTCTTCTTCTTGCCTGCTACGATCTTGGGTGCAGCGTGTGGCCATGCAACTGATGACGATTCTCTGGTGGATGTGGACGTGTATGTGAAGTTGTCTGGCAAGAAGTCTTCGATGGCCGAGGCAGGAAGGTACGCAACTTTGTCATTCTTGCTGAACTTCTGGCTCAGCTCTTTCTGGGGCGTCCTCTACCCGGGTTCCACTCCAGCGATGAACCCTGAGAATCCTTATTCTACCCTCTCCACAACACGCAGGATGGTGGTTGGCGTCGCCGTCAAAAACCACTCCATTACTTTTGTGGCCATTGTGGGGCATTTGGGGTGCTAGCGTCTATGTGCTGGCTTTGGCCGTGCACCCAATCCTACGTGATGGAGATGCGCGAATGGACCAACGGGGAGGAGCATGTCGCCAGTCGGAACATGCGGAAATTCGGATTCGCCCAGCGCCCTTCTCACGCTGAGTGTCAGGTTCCACAGGTCGACGACGACGAGAGCGAGCATCATGAGCATCAGCCCGCTCTGGGCCCTTTGAAAGCCTGTGGACGGAATCCTGTCCGCAGCTTTGGTGGGCCCTGAGAGCGAGCATGATGAGCATCAGCCCGCTCCGGGCCCGCTGATAGCCTTGCGGACGGAATCTGTCCGCAGCTTTGGGGGACCCAAAGAGCGAGCATGGGCCCTCTTAATGGATTCTGTCCGCAGCTTTGGTGGGTCCTGAGAGCGAGCATCATGAGCATCAGCCCGCTCTGGGCCCGCTGAAAGCCTGTGGGCGGAATCTGTCCGCAGCTTCGGGGGGACCCTAAGAGGGAGCATGGACCCTCTTAAAGCCCTTGGTGGGCCCTGAGAGCGAGCATCCCGAGCTTCAGCCGAGCCTTGCGGACTGAATCTGTCCGCAGCTTTGGCGGACCCTATAGGAGCCCTTTGAGACCGAGCATCCTGAGCAGAGCACTCCTGTAGCTGCTGGGCTTCCTGCCCCAAGAGACCCGGGTCTCTGGAATCTTTGCAGTCCCTGCAGTCTTATGTTTCTGGGATTGTATCCCCGAATGCAAAATATACCCCCGTAGCCATACCGCAGGAGCATGGATATCGCTTCCTGGGACTGGCCTGGGGTGTGCCACTACATGTCCAAGCAGAACACAGCCAAGTTCCTGACTCGCTTTGCAAAGCACACGGTCCCTGAACACCATGACGTGCTTGAAAGACAGCGAGGATAAGCTGCTGGTTTTTTTCTTTCGGCGTGACGGCGCTGGCGGGCACGCTGGCGGGCACGCTGGCGGGCACGCTGGCGGGCATGCTGGCGGGCATGCTGGCGGGCACGGCGGACATTGCTCTGGACAGATACGAGCTCAGCTTGTTTTCTGTGTTGACCAATGATGAGGATGGAAGATCAGGGTCTGGAGTCCGCCTCAAGGCCTCGGCTAGCGGTCTGGGCATGACTGCTGACCGTGTGGAGCTGCAGAGTGTGCTGCTTCGACCGGTGTCTGCAAAGCGTTTGCAAGTGACGAGCAGGCGTTCAGCGGACTTGGGCAGCAGCACAGGCAACCCAACTGCCGCAACCCAACTGCCGCAACGGCTGAGGAGTTGGAACGAGTCAAACAGGTGGCAGAGACCGCGGCTTTGGAGTTAGCTCACTGGTGTCATTTGTCAATGGTTTCTCGCAATGCTCTTCAATCAAATGCTCTTCAATCAATGTGAATACTGTCGAGGCGGTTCGGGCCTCAGTCCATTCTCATTTTGACGATCTCTGTCTCCTCAGCTATTCAACAACGAATGTGTTTGCCAGGGCAGCCTCGTTGTTGTCGAGCAGCATGTCGCCAGTAGTGACAACGAAACACTCAAAGTAGGCGTTCTTCTGTGAGTTGCGGCTGCCCACTGTGCATCATCTTCGGTTGCAGAGTACCTAGACAAGGGGGACGGGTGCACTGGAGGTTCCATTAGGCTTGAACCAGTTCTGCTGGACGAGGGAGAGAGAGAGAGAGAGAGAGAGAGAGATTGCCAAATCTCTTTTTGCCAACAAAAAGGTGAAAAGGCTGCAGGTGGAGCCGGCCAAACTGGCCAAGATCTTGCCTCAAACAAGCGTCAAAGCCGTGGTCATTGGCTACGGTGATTCTCTTTGCTTGCGCTCTAACCAATTCACGGTTGACCCTTCATTTTCGCACGCCGGCTTTGCGGTTGTTGGTGCTCTTGCTATCCGAGGTTGCTCTGGTGGCTGCGTTCGGCTCGTGAAAAAACCTAAACCCTAAATCCGAGAGAACCAGGAGCCTGCATAGGTGTAGTGCCCGTCATCAACTGAACCCAATGCCATCGTCTTAGCACTTCTGCCCCGACATTGTCCTGAACCTTCAACATCCTGAAAACCTAAATACCCTAGATACCATAAATGCCCTAAATACCCTAAATACCCGGAACCTGAACCTCAAACCCTAAACTCCTAAACCGTTATCTTCCACCAGGGAAAGCGTCACCGGACAAATCCTTTCGCTCCAGCGGAGTATGTCTTTGAGGATTGGCGGGGGTGGGAGAGTTTTTTCGGGTTCAGGGTGGTTTAATGCAGCAAGTTTGAAACCTGGCAGGGCTGGGAAACCAAGCTCGCGAAGTGCAGCTGCATGCTTATAGGAAGTGAGGGGGGAGGACCCTGTTTGCGACCGCGGTTGTCTCCCCGCGGTGCAGTTTCCAGCATATTTTCGGACTTCGCATATTCACGCTTGACGTCGGCATTTGGGCCTTTGCGTGTTGCGGGATTCCGGGCGACATATATTCTCATGTTCGTAGGGGCCGTATCGAAACCGGTAGTAAAGTGACTGCTACGTCAACTCTTGAACGTAGCTGAAATCACGAGCCTCGACGCCGCTCAGATGCAACTCCAGGACAATCCCATACAGAAAGAATTAGGGCACGACAATACAAAAAGTTTGAATCTCCGAAGTTCCCATGTCCGAACCTTAGGCCCAAAGCCCAAGCGCCCCGCACTAATTTGGGGTTGCGGATGTAATGTTGGTCCTACATGTTTGGGACTCGAGACGAAGCTCCTGCCCGGCCTTAGTTGCCTTCGCTATGACTTTCATCACTGTGATATGCAGGATATGTGCGGAATTGTGGCGGAGTTGGCGCACGGCTATGGCAAGTGGCAGAACACAGAGTGCATGCAAATGAAGCTGGGACCTGCTTGATAGTAATCACCGTGTGTGTTTTGGATGGGCCTAATTTACTTTAAAACCTGTGTTGAAGTTTCATGCTAGCCATGTCACATGTCGAGTAGGAAAGATGAGCTCGTGGAGTTGGACGTGGACGGGGACGGGCGCATCCCTTTGAAGGTTTTCTACGGCCAGCAGGACAACGCCAAGTACCAGTTCAGCGAGTCGGTGCAGTATTTGCAGGAGATCGGCGCCCTGGACGAGAGCGGGGAGAAGAAGGTGCGGATCGCGAACTACCTGCAGGGCCCCTCGAACTGCATTGCGTCGTCGTCCTACTACTCCATCTGCTGCCTGAGCGAGTGCGAGGGCCTTGTGAACGAGCTGGAGGCCAAGGTTCAGGCGCCGGCTGCGGACGCCGCCTATCTGTTGGAGCTCGTGGGGCACATCTCCTCGGCCAGCGTGGACGCACCTCGTCAGCTTCCCTTTGGCTTGGAACGGCGGCTGCAGGACATTGCGGACCACAACGGCGGCCAGGTGCCACTTCACGGCCGGCTCTTTGCAGAGTGGATGCACTACGCCTTCCCGCACGAGTGCCCGTATCCGAAAGTGTTCCAAGAGTCCAAGATCTTGACACCGGAGTTCTGGGCGCAGAAGAAGATGTCTGTGGATGCTCAAGAGCGGCTTGAGATTGCCTCGAGTGCCGTGCTCGAAAACACCACGGACTCGGACAGCGTCGCCGCAGAGTCCGAGGCAGAGATTGCTTGGAGCAGCGAGGAGCTGCTGCACGCCCACGAGGCACCGGTGCGGAAGCACGGCAGCGCCCGCGCAGCGATGCGCTGCACCATGCAGCTGGCACTGCTCCTCGGCGTCCTCCGTGCCGCAGCCGGCAGCTGGCAGACGCTCCGCGACTTGGCTGCTCCGAAGAGCAAGGCGGCGCTGCCCTTCTGAGCGGAGGGAGACCAGGGGAAGCCACGCCC